AAAAAAAAAAAAAAAAAAGAGGGCGCCTGGGTGGCTCAGTCATTGAGCATCTGCCTTCGGTTCAGGTCATGATCCCAGGGTCCTGGGATTGAGTCCCACGTCGGTTTCCCTGCTCTGCAGAAAGCCTGCTTCTCCCTCTCCCACTCCCCCTGCTTGTGTTCCCTCTCTCACCGTCTCTCTCTCTCTCTCTGTCAAATAAATAAATAAAATCTTTAAAAAAAAATTTTTTTTAACGGAAAATAAGGTTTAAGTTTGTGGAGATATCATAACCCTTCTGCACTGGTGCAGCTGCCGAGGAAAATAGTGTGACAGCTCCTCAAGAAAGGAATCAGAGGATTACCATAGAATCCAGCAATTCCACTTCTGGGTAGATACCTCCCAAAAACTTCAAAGCAGGGTCTCAAAGAGATATTTGTCCACCCGTATTCAAAGCAGCATTATTCACAATAACCAAAAGGTGGGAGCAACCCAAATTATCCATCAACAGATGAATGGATAAACAAATGTGGTATATACATACAATGGGATATTTTAAAATTTTTTAAAAATATAAAACTGTTCTTTTAAAAAGCTTTTAAAAAGGAAGAAAATTCTGATAAATGCTAGATGAACCTTACAGACAATGCACCAAGTGAAATAAGCCAGTCACAGAAGGACAAATACTGTATGAGTTCACTCATATGAGATACCCAGCATAGCGAAAGTCACAGAGACAAAAAGTAGAGTGGTGGTTGCCAGGGACGGCAGGGAAGAGAGGATGGAAAATTAATGGGTCTCAGTTTGGGAAGATGAAAAAAGTTCTGGAGATGGACGGTGGTGATGGTTGCACAACAATGTGAGTGTACTTAATGCCACCTGAACTGTATACTTTAAATTGTTAAAATAGTATAAATTTCATGTTTTATATATGTATATATTTTTAAATAAGCTTTATGCCCAACGTGGGCTCGAACTCACGACCCCGAGATCAAGAGGGGTCCACTGACTGAGCCAGCCAGGCTCCCCTGTTATATATTTTTACCACAATAAAAAATGCTTTCTCTCTCAGCTTCTATTATACTTCATGCTCTGGGCTTCTCCTTTCCTACCTCTCTGGCCACTTCTCAGTCTCCTAGTCGATTCCCTCTCTACCTGGGTGAGAAACACTGTAGCCTTTCCTTCCTTCAACAAATATTGGAGTGTCTACTCTGTACTAGGAATAAACAATGAACAAAAGACACAAAGTTTCTCCTTATGGAGCATACATTCTTACTAGATAGGAGATAATCTATCAACAAATAGTATGTTGGTCATAAGAGATACAGAAAAAATAATAAAACAGGTTAAGGGAGATTGGAAGAGCCAAGGATGGAGGTTGCTAATTTTTATAGGATGGTCTGATAAGGTTATATTTGAGCAGTGAAATGAAGCAAGGAATGTTGTTATACGGAAGAGTTTTCTAAGCTGATCGCAAGTGCAAAGGCCCTGAGGCAGAACAGAGCTTAACGTGCTTCAAGGATAGCAGAGGCCAGGATAAGGGAAACAGAATGAGAAGAAAGAGAGCATGTACTCCAGGAGGCAATGGAGCAGGGGATGTAGGTCATAAACAGCCTGAGAGACCATTTAATTTGAGTGAGATGAGAAGCAAATAGAGTGTTTGGGGCAGAGCAGTGGCATGACCTGTCTAATGCTCTAACAGGACCACTCTGGCTGCTGTGTTACGAATAGACTGGAGGAGGAAGGGTGGGTGTAGGAGCTACTGCAACAGGGGAGAGGAGAAGATGACTTGGACCAGAGAGGCAGTGGTAGACGTAATAAAAAGTGGAAAATTGAGGATGTCTCCTGGAGGGAGGATTTGTTGACAGATTGGATATGGGATGTGAGAAAAAGAGGAATGATCGGGTCATTCAAATTTGGGGGCTTGAGCAACCAGAGGATGGAAACGTCATTTACAGAGTTAGAGAAGACCGGGAGGCTAAAAGTCAAGGTTGGACTTTGAACATTTGGTCTGAGAAACCTATCAGGCGTCCAAGTGGAGATGTCGAGTAGGCAGCTAGACACGTGGACCTGGAGTTCGGCACAGACACAGAACTTTGAGGTACAACCCTGGGCCCTCCTTCCACTTCCTCATCCCCCTCTATGTGACCTCACCCATTTCTTCAGCTTTCAATATCCCCTGTAGGCTTCATGGGCTCTATGCTGGTATTTAAATATCAGACAGTACCATGTGACATTGTCTCTCTTCCCTGAAAGTCTGCAAGTGTGAGGTCCCTGGCGGTCTTACCGCCCCCACTGCGCACTTAAGTGAACTTGGCAATCGCTAACAGACGTGTGCCATCATGCAGCTGGACAAGGAAACAAAAACCAGAGTTTTTGAGGGTTCCTGACTGTCCAGGACTTTTTTCAAAAGTTCTCTGCTGAATTTTCAGAACAAAAATAGGTGTGAACCATATGCACTTTGGAAAGGAATGAGCTGGCCACTGTAGGGCTAAGATCAGTATTGTTCAGAGAATGAAATTCCTGTTCACTGATGTTGTTTTGGGTTGGGCTGACCTTATGAACTGGATTTCTTTTCAGATGGGTGTATTTTTCCTTATTGCAAATTTCCTTCAATTCATCAGCAGAAATTCTAGCCACTTTGCTGGGAGCTTGCGACCCTGGGTTGGACAGCTTATGTACTTGCCTTTTGACAAATGCTTATTTATTTATTTTTTTGGAGTTTCTGCTTGGCACTTCCCGCTTTCCCTCTGGTGACCTTTTCTGTCACTACTCTTTGGTTTCATCCCCGATGAATCACTTCCTTTGGGTCACTTGAGTCTTTCTCCTGCAGGAGAATCTAATCTTTTTTTTTTTTTTTTTTGATGTCTGATCTTATTTATTTGTCACTCATAGAAAATCTCATTTTTGACTGGACTCAGACTTAGAGGTAGAAGC